ATTAATGGTAGACTTTTTTTTTTTTAGTCATTCAGCAAGTAGTATATGAAGACAAATGCATATTAATTAAGTGTGTAACATCTTTGGTAAGGTTGGTGTTTTCATACTTAGCTTTCAGGATGAAAGTGTCTGAAAAACAGATTAAACTATGACAGGAAGTCAACTGTACGTGAGAGGATAGAAGCTGGTGTTATCGGCGGTGGCCACATGTCCCAGCTTCACCAGCCCCACAGCCAGGCCCTGAGTGTTTCTGTTTTTCAGAGATGAGGCTTCAGGCCAAGCTTTTGCAGAAAAAAACAGAAAAAGGAGTGGTTTTGGAAAGATTTATTTTATCCTCAGCAGTTCCTCCTAGGATGCCAAATTCTTGGCGGGAGATGAGGGGTCCCGGTTTTAGCAACATGAACCAGAATGTCGCACCATGTCTGTCAATGGTAGAGGCTGAAAAGCTGCAGGTGCCAGCTCATGGCAAGCTAAAACCCGAGGCCCGTACTCATAATTAGGAGCTCGCTCTACCCCGGCCCAGATGCTTCATTCAAGGCTACTCATCAGACAAAAGATTATCTGCCACCCTCTTGAGTGCTGGAACATTACACATGCACATGCAAGCACTGAGTGGAAGTTAGCTTTTTGTGCTGGTTTGTGAGTAACCCTTTGTGGTTCTGTTTCCTTTTTTTTGGCAGGGGGACATGTAACTTTTTAAGTGGGTTGCCAGATGAGTTGTAGTGTTGTTTTGTTGCATACACAAACTGATCGGCAACTGTAAAGAGATCCGTTTTTTACCTAGAAAGACATTTACAAACTAACTGCATTGCTAATCGCTCAAGTGGTGACTAGTCTCAACCCAGAATAGCAATTTGTTTACTTAACTACTCAGCTAGAAAGTAGGTGGAGGAAAAGAGGAAATGTATATCTTAATGGGCTGCTAAACAGTGGACTTCGTGTTGCTCTGCCTGGGCTTCGTCATCTGTATTTTCTAAATACGGTGACTTGAACGTAGAAGTTTCACAGCAAGAAGACGCTTTCAGTCTGTTAATATCAAACATTCATGATAAGCATTTACTTGAGAATAAACAATAGTGTGTCTGTTTCTTGAAAAGAAAACACATTAGTAGGGAAATCCAGTAAAGATGATGGATTACACAGTTGAGTAAAGGATTTACTAAATGTGGAAGCGTGTAAAAGACTTCTTGGGCCTATTAAAAAGTGAGGTAATGTGTTAGAATTCAGGTTAAAAATAAGAAGCATTTCTTTAAAGCTGGGCTGTTAAAAGGCACTCCACCTGAGAGCATATTAAGGAGAATGTGGGGATTTTTTTGGCATTGAATAGCGTTACAAACTTTGAAAGAGCAATATTTCAAATCAGAAGTGATAATGCTCACTCATGTGACTCCCATCTAAAAAATAAGAGCAGATGGGTACTTCAGGGTGAGCCTTTTTTTTTTCAATGTCTGTATAGCAGCAAACCTTTTTTAGAAAAGCTGCCATAAAGGGAGGGTAGGTCATCTGGAAAAAGCACATCAACTTTTAGCGGATGACTTGGTAAATGTTGCTGTGTTATAGGCAGGTAAGTAAAGCGATGAACAAGTCAGAGATATGAGTACATAAAAACAACAGCCGGTGCACATTGTTCACCAGCAATGAAAAGTCAGTCTAATATATAAAAGCTGGATCCAGTTTGATCCCAGAGGCGTCTGTTAAAATCAGCCTTAAGCACAGCGTTTGGTTGTCTGAGCGTGAGGCTTTCAAAGGCCCTGGTCACATGTTCAAATGCAGCATGGATGAGTGAGGTGTGCTGGCCCAACCCTTCCATCAAAGCCGTTCCTTCTGAGGCTTCGTCACTCTCCATGTTCACTCGTGCCCCCCCCCCCCCCCCCCCGCTGGGTCCTCAAATGAGTTCTGGTGGATCAGCGGCAGCACATTTGGCATCTTTGCTGTCAGTGCAGCTCCAGAGGCCCGAGCCCAGCACCAGAATCAGCACAAAGTGTTCAGTTGGGTTCAGAGTGGGGAACCCACTAATGAAACGGCTGAAGGAAAGCTGTGGGTGGATTGGGTCCCTTTGGAAAGCCTCTGTTCCCTCTTTGTTGACTTGCTAAATCAGGGGTTTAAACGCCTAATATTATTCATAATATTTTGTCCCTGTTCGATATACAAATAAAGCAAAGTATAGTCTTTTCTGGCGGTGTTGCCTCTCCAGCGTGATGCTTAGCTGACTGACGGTGGTACCTCAGGCTCTTGTCTGTATCTGGGGAGCAGCTAAAAATAGAAAAAGAAAACCCCAGCGTTCTGTGCTGTTTATTAAATTTTAAATTTTCCAGTGTGTTTGTGGGGAAGCCCTTGCTTGCAAAGTATTTCATTAAAAATTTATAACTATATTTTTCTTGCACTGTGCCAAAGATCTCGACAGAAATTTCCGGCACAGCATTTTTGCTGTCAGTCCATAGCAACCAGTTAAGCTTTATAAAGGGGTCTCACCTCAGCTTTACCTGACTGCATCACCTGAGGGAGGGATTCATATATTGGAAGGTTTTTAATTTGCTGCACAGAAGGAAAGCAGAGTAAGGAGTGGGATGTGGGAGGGTGGGCTTAAGATGCTGATCAAGTTCTTAATGCCCCTCGTGACTTGTGATGTCTTTGTTTCAAGGGCTTAATGCCCGGAGCTACAAAAGGCCCATTGGTGGTCTGAAAGTTGATTTGAAGGCCAGAGCAGCTTTGATCTTGCTGTTCCTACACATCTTTGAAGGCCTGATAAAGACTTAGCTCCGGATCCGTACCCATGGGTTCTTACTGTTCAGCAGGATAAAGATTCTTCACTGTTCTTAATCCATCTAAATCTCCACCACATCCAGCTCCACTGTTCTCCAGGCACGACCTGAAATTAACCTTAGCTTGATACCACTTACTTTATCCCTTCGATATGGTTTCTTAGATATTTAAAACCTTTTTTAAGGACATTTAGAAAACATAGTAAGTAGTCCAACTATAAGGAAAGGCAAAGGCTGTTTAAACTGTTTTTTTTTGTCCAATAAGCCTCAAACCCCACCGGTGTGTTAATGCAATGCTACTTAAATAAGATCATCACAGAAGGTGTATCTGCTCATTTAACAAATGGAACAAAATATATATTTCCCATTTCTGTCCCGTTTTTTTGCAGTATGTGAGCAGTTTATAGGAATAGTTTACTCTGCTCCATCTTACCTTCTGACTCGGCATAAAAATATCTACAGATTTTAGCTTCTAACTTAATGAAAATTGAGTTGTCTCCTCCAGCATTGTGTTCTCATTAATCTCCAACCTGCTGATACTTTCCCCCTCCCCTACCAGTGAGTGCTGCCTCACATCCGCATCTATATTATCATCTCATTCACATCCCTGTCTTTTCCAATTTTGCAGGAGGCGCTTGAACAAGTATTTCTATTGACCTTTTCCAGTATTGGCTCAGGTCTTGATGCAGGAACATGCACGGTCTGGCAGAGAAAATCCAACTCCCAAGGCTGTTAATGAGCATTTGTGCTAAAGTATTCGGGGAGTGATTCATCATGAAGGAGATGCTCAACTTTTTGTAAACCAATTTGAAGGAAACGTGCCCTGTGAGCCGACTTCTTAGTGTGTATTTTCAAGAAAACCAATGCATATTGATGTGCTTAGTCCCACTGCCCTTACCATGTGTGCGCATGTGTGTGTGTGTGCGTGCCCTTTGGGGTAAACTGTAGGGTTAGGACCTGTAAGGAGACACTGCCAAGTCAGCAAGTTGTCGTGACAATGCCGTCATTCCCCCATTTAATTCTTTTTCAAACTCCTCTTGTCTATTGTGTGAGGAAGCTCACATGACTGCACGGATGCCCATAGCACAGGGATCCATAGCGCAGCTCTCGTTCCGGCAGCAGTCGCCTGGATCATCTATCATATCGCTGTCTCCTGTGGCGACGCGCACCGAATAGAAGTCTGTGGTGCAGCAAATCACAGTTCTGAAGACTGTGCTGACGTCTCACATCAAGCATATGTTATTGAATAAATCAGAGAGGCTCACTAAAGTTTTTCCTTTTTTTTGTGGTTGTCCGTCATTGAGCCTGTGTCAGAATTGATTATCATATGGAGGCAGTGCGGATGCCTAACGTGGGATACAGTACATGATGCCACATCAATCAGCGTCATGATGTCTGTGTGGCGCTGAGGAGATCTGAGCAATTAAACTGCTCCCACGTAAAGAGCTAAAGCGAAAAATGGCAAGGTCTCGGTGTGGCTGCGCGCCTTCCATTCACAGGCCTGCTTAGAGGCGGACTGAGGGGCTAATAAGCAGGCAGTGCGCTGCATAATTCATTGTTACAGGCTGAGGCCAAAGAGCAGAAGAATTGCGGAGCCAGGCTCGTCCCTCTGCAGCCCACGTCGAAGCCTGGTGACAGGACAAAGAAATGTTGTGAACATGACGGACCACAGCACATTTGTGTCGATGCATTGTGCTCAGTTTGGTTTCAGGGGGGGGAAAGTGGCAGATGTGATGGGGACTTTCTGACTTGTTCTCTTTGACACCTGTGAATTCTAACCTTTTAATTTAGCTGTTTTCTCACAAGACAAGTTCTTTTTTAAAAATTTTTTATATATGAATCATTTCACAGTGGCGATTAGTTTGACCACAGAGGAGCTGCATCATTAGGTGCAATGTTCTTTAGCATCCAGTTCTGGGTCTCCTCCCTTCATTCTCTGTCGCTCTCTGCCTGAATCTCACGGCTGAAGGGGGAAGAAGGAGAACAGAAGGTCAGCAGAGGTTTGGGGTAGGGGGGAGGCGGAGGGGGGGACTGACGCCATTTCATGGTTATGCAGTCTGAAATTCCATTGTATTTGCTAGGTGGCGAGGGAAATGTCTCAGCTTCTTGATAACTACAAAGGACAGACAAAATAACAAACAAAGATCTATTAGTTTAGCTTGTTCTCTCTCTGCCATTCATGCCTGTGAGCTCAGAGAGAGACGCTGTGGCTCTAAAGAGGGGGAGAGCTCTTGCAGAATGTGGAGGAGGCAGAGCAGAGACAACAGAGCAGCAATGGTCCCTGAAGGTTAGATATAAGAGGGATGCTGCTGAGCAAGCTGTATCACACGGTTACACGGCAGGATCAGTGACCGCCGCGCTCCTTTTCCTCCCGTCCATGTCTTCATGCTCATTCCTCTCACATACCATGCCGTCTCTCCCTCATGTGTCTGCTTTCTCTCCCTACTGCTATTCTCTGTTAGTTTTTTATGTGTCCCTCTGTCTTGCTTTATTGCCTTTCTCTTCCTGAATGAAACTCTTCTATCTCTGCCTTGCCACTGAACTCATCCATCACGCTGGAGCTGAAACTCTAAATTAGGGCCTACGATGCACTATGATGCTCAATAGCCTTATTCCTCCCTCCCTATTCTCCTTGACTCTTTCTTGCTTCACTTATCACTTGATTAGTTTTTTTTTCAGAGTGCTGAGAAGTAAAGAGCATGTGCAGAAATCTTCCGCCACCCTTTATTTCTTTCTACTCTATATTGTTAGGGAAGCATTTATTGGATGCAGTGATTTATTTGAAGCGAGTGGAAACAAAGGAACACAGTATATATTAGCCAAAAACTTGGAAGTCTGTATTTATCCTTTATTCTCCTTTATTCTTCTAATCCTGAGCCCTCTTAAATGAGCACTTTTGTAATTTATCTCAACAAAGTAGTTTTTAGTATTGATTTTTCAGTTTTTGAAGGTCATGGAGCGGACTGCAGATAGATCAGCTGAAGGGTTTGATGCATCTCTCAGGTCCTGTTTCTCAGGTCTTTGCTGGATTTTGTTTCCTATTTCACCTTCACTTTGGGTCTTTGTTGTCCTCTGCTGGTCCATTTACTTTTAGGCTTGTTAGGATCAGATCGGAGAAAAATTTACTTATGCTAAAAGCTCTTTGCATCTGCTTTTTTCGGTGCTAAATGAATCATTCTTTATTCTTCTTAATGTGCTGTTTGTGTTAGAGACACACTGGTTTATTGATTTTGAGTTTACATTCAAATATCAATATTCATAAGAAAGTGGCTGGTTGAAAACAAAATATTAAGAAATTTAGGAGTGGCTTAAAAGTTTTGCTCAAATTGTGAAGTAAGTGTGATGATTTTCTCATTCTTATTCTCTGATTCCCAGCTCAAATTTCTCGTCTGATAGACACATTTACTACACCATTCGGAAAAGTGAACTGATAAGCTGTGAACATGATTTAGATGCTTCCTTTTCTATAAAACAAGTGAAAAGCCAATGACTGCAATGGAAAGCTCCTAATCCATTAAATCCAAGCGTGCAGAAAGCCATAAAAACTCTATAAAGTGTTGTCCTTCATGTGTCGTTGGTGAAGGTCTGTTGCGTAATTGAAGTGAGCCTGTGGGCGCCATGCATTCTTTATTGGCATGCACCCCCTGCAGTCTAGTGCCGACTGCCTCCCCCTGCACGTGTGTTGTGCTGCGTTGTGTTGTGTTGTGTTGTGGTGTTTGTGATGGAACACTGCTGCTGTGCCAGCATATTCCTCAATCCAGCAGCTCTACCCCAGCTGTCCTTCAGGCTGGATGCAGCCGTCCAATCCCCTCATCCCGACCTGCTGATCCTAAACCATCCCCACTCTGTGCCAAGTGGGCAGGCCAGAGCAACGTGTAAGGCACAGTTCACAACCCTCTTTGTCCTCCAGTGGGGCAGAACACCGTTAACATGATGGATTGAGCAGCAAAACGCAGTTGCGCAATCTTCCAAAGGGATAAAATATGGTCCTCTCTGGAGAATCAAGTTTGGAGGGCAAGCATACCTTGTGTTTAACCTCTGCCTGGAAACTTACCGAGTGGATGCACCTTAAGCATATGACTCAAGCCAGAATGTGTTTAAATGATTGTTTTACACATTTGGTGCTACAGAAGAGTTTTTTTTAGCTTTATGTAGCTGACTTTTATGGAGTCAGATTTCCATGTGAAGAATTTAAGATACAAAAAAAAGCAAAACTGACAGGGCAATTGACTTTGTGCAGTACAATGAATTCAGTATTATGTAAAGTTAAAGTCTGCTTGGTTTGAAGAGGAGGCTGGATGACTTTGTGAAGTGATTTAAGTTCACAAGCAAATCTGAACAGCTCCCAAAACTTTTTGTTACATGATATATTCCTCTTGAATACAAGCAAGTGGTAGTATCTTCAATCAATCACAGATTTTCTATATTTTTAACCCTTTTTAAAACCTTTCAAATGATGCACTTCCATTCATCCTCGTTTTCTTCGTGGTTTATTATCACATATACTGACATTTATTTAAACTTTGAACATGAGTAAACTTGAAATGTTTTTTTAATCCTCAATTCACATACATTTTAAATTAGTCTGTTTCTTGAGGATTAAGAATGGTGTGAGTAATAATCTGGAGGCAACAGATCTACAGGCTAAAAAATGAGGTCTAAAGCTCAGTTAGCCACTATTGCCTCCGACAATTTTATGATTTTCTACACGTCTCACCACCACAAAGCACGTTTCACTTGGTTAACTTTAGTAAGACATTTTTAATTTTCAAGATTGCAATATTGCCCCATGTCCTTGCCAGCTGTAATTTATTGTTTATTGTCTCTGGGTGGTAATATCCTGTTACTGTGTGAGTACTTTGACTGCTGCAGTGAATTGACTTTCCAGGCTGCAGGATATGAGAAATGGCACCGTGAAAGGAGTTAAAAAGATGATATATGATATGCGAGGGAAAGGGGGGCTGATAAAAGCAGGTGGTGGGAAAGAGGGATGGAAATCTTGTCTTTCTTTTAGTAAGTTCATGGAGAAGAGATTTCTGGCTGAACCTGGAAAATAATGAAAACAAAAGCAAAACAGACCTCAAGAATCACATGTAACACGGTCCAACATGTGGATATGTATTCCTCCTGGTTGAATTCTTGTGTATGCACGTGTATGGGATTAGTTGTTGGTGGGAATTTTCGGAAAAGTGTGTGATCCAGTCGTCTTTATACAATAAGAGAATGTGTTCAAGATTGTTTTGTCATTCAAGTTAAATTTTCTTTGTATTTTCCAGTTTAAGGGATGCAATTAATTTGATTTAAGATTTGATTTGGCTTAGTCTTTTGGGACATTGTTGTAGCATTTGTTGAAAAGATAACATGGATTTTTGCACTATGCCTGATACATTGAGAAAGAAAAGGATGAGTAGCAACTCTTACAGTGTCTAGAGTCGAATAACAGATGTAAGCTGCTTGAAATGCTGGTCTGGCTGCATAGACTTTATATTCCAACCAAAGCAGGTACTTACTGGCCAGTAAGTGTGTGCACACTCTTCCTATGTAATCTGGCTGACAGGATGTATTCGTTTTTGTCTCAGTAGAGATAATCTATTTAGTCCTGGGTTGGACATACAGCACACCCTCTGCCTCTAAACCAGCTCTGCCACCAGCGCCTGCATGCTCACGCATGCACAGACTCACCACCAATGGGGTTTACTGCTACCATTCAGGAAAGAGGAGCAGATGTGTGTCTTTTTTCTCTGGAAGGGTTTGGGAACGTGTGGGAAGTGAGTGACAGAAGCTTTTGGTTTGTAGCTATTTTGAAAGTGAAAACGTAACTGCAAAGTCTGCGTGTGGGTGAGAATTTTGACATTCAAAGAACCATTTGAAAGCATATGCACTCACTCACACAAACACGCTCAAGTTCACACTCCCAACACACACGTTCCCAGGTCGCAGAAATGTTCCAGGTGTAATTATAGAAAGTGTGCCCCCTGAATCCGGCTGGCAAATGGCTTTGACTCACATCTCTGCTGGATGTCCGCAGGAGATTTTTCCACTTGTCTAACTAAGGTTATCCAAATTTAATGAGTTTTCCCTCCGCCTGCGGCAAATCAGCAGAGCACTTGGCTCACCTCGGTGAGGGTCTGAGACCTCCGGGGGGTTAATGTTTCACCTCCTCTCACACCGAGGCCTGCAGATGTGCCCTTTGGTCAGAGCGGGGCTTCCAGAGCTTGCACATCCGTCGTTACAGAGGCTTCCGAAGCTTTGAAAGATGACCACTGACATTTCGGAGAGCTCCCGCTGCTCTCAGTGCAGGTGTTCTGAAGAAGTTGACTAAGAATGTAATGAACAGCTCCCTCAGCACTGATTTAAACGGTCACAGAGTGGCTCATTAAGAGCATTAATGAGAAAAGTGGAAATAAGTTGCAGGTGATGAAGCAGTTTTATATGTGGAGGTGAATTTTAAGGCTTCACAACTGTCAAAACATACCAACATCTTATAGTATTTGAAGCAGTTTAAAGAGATGTAATGGTTTCTTTACTGGTTTTGTCTTTATCTTTTTTTAAGCCATTATGTATGTGATGGGTGCCCTGGGACCTGCTGCTGGTTACCTGCTGGGAGGTGTCCTCATAGGCTTCTACGTCGACCCCAAAACTGTTGTAAACATCGACCAGAATGACCCCCGCTTCGTTGGCAACTGGTAAATATGCATGTGCATCTGTATGCTGGCCGTTTTCCTTATGTTACCTCCCCCTATGTGTTCAGCCGTCTTGTACTTTTATAACACGTCTTTGTTTTTCTCTCAGGTGGAGTGGTTTTCTCCTCTGTGCCATCGCTATGCTTCTGGTGATCTTCCCCATGTTTGCCTTTCCCAAAAAGCTGCCTCCACGCCACAAGAAGAGGAAGAAGAAAAAGATGGGATCAGCAGGCGACGTGTCCAGCGACGATGATGTGATGAAGGAGAAGTCCAGTAGCAAGGGCCAAAATGTGTCCTCGTCTATGGGCTTTGGAAAGGATATCAAAGGTGGGGAATGGATTATTTTATCTCTGGATACTGAGCTGTTAGCAGTATGGTACATAAAAAAGCTGAGAGCTCTTGACAAGCAGTTTTTAATCCAAATCAAAGCCAGGGATTAGTGATCCCGTCCAATAATGTAAGCTTCATTAAGATCTCCTTTAAAGATATTATGGGCCAGCATAGTGGCCTGTCGGCACCGAAGCCGGACGAACATGAGGCGGTAAACATCAGCACGCATAGTGAGAATCGGGCTGTGTTAAGTGAATACTGCACCTATCTCCACAACTGCGGTAGCATTTTTGAATGTGCTCCCTGTACCAGATATAGCAGGAATCTCCTGGTTTCCCCCGGTTACGCTCAGCCCTGTCTAGTGTTTCCTCCTGTTCTTTTGGTTCTCTTGTAAATGAGCTCTCCTGAGACTTCCATCACATTTCCACACAAAGGAGTTGGCAGGCTGTGCAGCAGAGCTAAAAAGCGGGTGCACAATCAAACGTGTATTTAGCATGGCTGCCCACTCGTACGTTACCGCTTGTATGCATAAGCAAAGCGGGGAAAACAGTATTTTGTCTCGGGGATGCACACAGACTGAATTATGAACGTGCTACGGCTTCACCAGATCAGTGCTCACTCAGCTGCTGTTTCATTTGTCTCAGCAGGATGTTTTGGGCTGTTGTGCAAACTCCAGCCAAATCCGCAGACTCAGGCCCTTCAGCGCCTGGATGAGGGATGTATTTTAGTACAGCAGGTGCCCTTCAGTTGAGCTGTGCATGTTTGACTATTGCACAAATTCAGCAATTTTTTTATGAGGGAAACGCTGTCACAAAGTGACTTTTTGCCCTCCAGATCACAAGCAAACAGTGAAAAATGCAAACGCTAAACCTTTCAGTAATACATATCAGAGAGGCGAACGTTTGATTTTTGGGAGGCTCCAGCGACCTTGTTATGCCACTGTGAGGAAGCAAGCTCCCCTTGAAAGGTACCGATGTGAGGCTAAATGACTGCTGACACAGTGCCACGTTTCTGTATTTGATTTAGTTTTTTTACCTGACAGGATTAGAACTGCAGGTATGTTAGTACCCCCATCTGATAAAATACCGTTTGATTCAACCTCGTTGGGTTGGTTTATGGGTTTATCATTTAGGTTTATCATTAAACTCCTGTTTAATGATATCCAGATTTAAATTGTGTAAGCACTTGCTGAACGTAACAGAAGAACTGTTTTTCGTAAATGTAATCAATCATGTCACAATTTTTTTGTACTGTTGATATCGTATATCTAGCAGCATTATGGGTTAAATTCAGTGCGGCAATTAATACTGTAAGAGGTCAGGAACCTGCATGATGGGCTCAATCCAAATTAGAGGAAATTTCCCCCCCAAAAAAGAAAGTTAAAGCCGAGCAGTAATTACTGACTTTACAGTTGGAGCTACATTTAGAACAGCTAAACACCACGAGGAAGTCACGCACAGCACACTTAAAGTACTTGTTTTTACAGATGACACACCCTGATTTTTATCAAGATTTTACCGAACCCACCCAGAAAACGTGGTAGTAGCTCATATCTCAGTGTTTCACATATGTTCCAAAGTTCCATCTTTTTTTTACGTCAACAGTAAACTTAAAGTGTGATTACATTAATGGAACCAATGCTTTCATTCACTTTTTTTTTTATCTCAACATGTCAGGAACTGGCTGATCATGATTCCTTGGAGCATTTCCAGACTCTGTCTGCGCTCTAATAAAATCCTGATTTTATAACGCCCTCTTTCCAGTGAATTGAGCTGTACTTAAATGTCTCGAAATACTCGACCTTGAGCTAAAGTATATGAATCTGTACAGATATAGGAAAGGCTTGATCAGTGATTCCTACATTAAACCCCTAAAAAAAACGTTTTGAGTTTGACGTCACAATTTGGTACGATTATTGTATGAAATTTTATTAAAAATGATTTTAATAAAATACAATGAAACAGTAGGCTGTCAGAATTAAAACCTTTAAACCACAAAGGAAATGATTGGATTGAGACCTTTTTCATGGTTTGAATAAGTAATCAATCAATTGCAACCAAAACAACAGTTTTTTTTTTTAACTAGTGCAAGCCAGGGGTCTGTCTGATCAAGAGAGCAGCTGCTGTACATGCCAGCAAGACTTGGCCATCTGTCCCCTAAAGGACAAGGTTACAGTCCAGCTCCCAGGAATAAAATAATTAGTGTTACTATTTTGTTCCTACCTTTGATCTGGGACCACTGTCACAGTTGCCTCTAACATCTCCCCCACCTACAACTAGGTCAGTCCTATTGGTGCGGGGGCGTTTACTCCCCAATCAAAGCCCCGTGTCACAGAGTTAGACTGCCGGACTCCCCTATAACCTTTGTAATAAAGGCACTGATAATCCACTTCATGTTCTCTGTGACTGCTTAGCTTTGCTGCATTTGCCCGAGAAGGCATGATAGTCTCATGACTATAAAGCCATAACATGCTCTTTCTGTCATGTTTTAAAAACCTCTGTTCACATATGGGACAGAACCTGAAATGACACTGAAAGTTGTGGCCGAACGACAGAAACATTTTACACTTCAGTTTTTGCACTGAAGTGAGATGACTTTCTTTAATCATAGGTACGGTTTTGGATCTCTTGTTGTAGTTTGGATAGAAAATATTTAGCTGTTTTTCAGTACAATCATGAATATTTCTGTAATTGTAGACATGAGTTTGTCCTTTTTTATATGAATAATTTCATGAACACTTGAAGAGAAAATAAGGAAGAAAATGCCAGATGAGCCCCAGCAGCTTCCTCTGTATAGTTGTAACAAACTTTCACAGCATTATGTGACTATCCGAGGTCCCCGTGGACCGTGAAGATCCTCATTCTGTCAAAAGGCTCCTGAAATTATTCACCTCTACTTTGTCATGATGGAGGAGTTTGGATGCACCGGTGATTCTCTACCATGCACATTTAAGGAAAGCCTAATGCACACTGTGGTCAAACTTATCTGCTCTGAGACCTCTTTACTAAGGTCTAAAAGCAGATTCTTCTGAATTTTCAGAAAGCAGTTCATGTTTTGAAGACTGTGTATTCATCTTAATTCAGTTGAAATTCAGACTCCATCCATCACTTTTAACAATAATCACATAATCCTAACCTTCCTGAATGTTTTTTTGTTTGTTAAAAAAATGAAAGATTGAACCAATATGTTGGAAAGTTCAAACGTACTTGGGGCATTACTCATTTCAGAAGTGTTAATCCAGAAATATTTTCCTTTACTGCAGTTGTGTGTTGATGGCTCACATGTTCTCAGGCCTGTCCACAGACAGGGTGTAAAACCACATAGTCACACTCTGTCTTAGTGCTGCATACAAAGTGCTGTAATTCAGCCGAGCAGCAGTAATGCATATAAAGCTGGATCACATGACTAAGGAGTGACAGAATGAGTGGACTGCCATCACATGAACACAGCCCCAAAGCAGACACAAAGGACACACTTTCCCGTATGATAAAATAAGAGTGATGACATTCAGGCATGATGTGTAATTAAGAGAATGCTGTACAGCTTTAGTTTTTTTTATACATAATTTTCATCAGTCTTAGATTGTTATTCATTTGAAATTTGAAGTGTCTTTTTAGTTACAACTTGTGATTATCAATTGTTGATTGTTTTTTAGTTAATATAATGTGCTAAAGTGGAGGAAACATTATGATAAAAGTGGAAAAAGTTTTAGGAAAGTGCTGTAGGTTTTAAAATATGCCAAACTAAAGCGAAGTAAGTTTTACACAAGTGGAATAATGTTTATAAAGTTATGCTAATGTGGAATAAGTTGTTTAAATTGGGAAATCTACCAAATTGACTGATTTGACTAAAGTTTACAAAATCTGAATAAATAAACTAAATCAGTCCAAAAAATGGGAATAAGTTCAACTTAATTTCACTGAATTGGAAGATTTTGAACTGAATTCCACTAAGTTCGCTTAATTTAACCAAACTCTAACGAGTTCCAGTAAACTCAATGAAATTGGAGTGGGTTTAAATAAACAGCAGTGATTTATACTACACTGTACTGCTTTATACCAAATTGGAATAAGTTCAAATAACTCAAATTATTAGGACAAGGTCCAGCTCTTTTTACAAATAGATTACATTAATTTTGCTTATTGTTGCATTAAGTTTGTTTGTGCTGCAATTGCATCATCATGTCAGTTAGCGATACCTAAATGAGGCTGCTGGTACATCGAAAACGGCAGGACGGTAACCAGGTGCTCTCTCCTCTCTCACGTGCTGATCCAGATCTCCCCAAGGCTGCGCTAAGGATCCTCAGCAACGTGACCTTCCTGTTTGTCAGCCTCTCCTACACAGCTGAGTGTGCTATTGTCACCGCCTTCATCACCTTCATCCCCAAGTTTATTGAGTCACAGTTTGGCATCCCTGCCTCCAAGGCCAGCATATACACAGGTAAATTCAACATTTGGCTGCTTTATCTCAGGTATTAAGTGCTAAATACATCACTCTTAGAGGTATAATTCCAGCAGTGCTTAAGTTGCAGTGAGTAAGTGCAGTCGCAGTCCATTATGGGCATCCATGAAAGATTTGTGGGAGCTTGTGATGAGCAGGATTCTGCAGTGGGATCTGAGGGCTTCCAGCTCTCTTGAAAAACTAGCCCATTACATAAACTCAATCATATTTTTTTACTTGTTATCTTTTAGAATTTCTTTCAGGAAAAGATGTAGGAAGCTAGTGAAAAAGAATGTCAGAGATGTTTAACTGTTCAGACCAGACTTGAATTCGCAGACACTGTTCCTCGTGTTCACAGTCATTCACGAGTGAGGAACAGCCGTGAGTCACAGTCTGCCGGAGTTCATTCAGTGATAAACTTCCATTAGATCCACTGACGGCAGCACACAAGTCTTTATTGACTCCACAAGGCACAGTGCTCTTTGAGTGGAGGCTGATACGCGCACACACACAGACACACAAATCACATACAGTGTATAGGGTGCACAAAGACCCAGATTAACCCTGCAGTTGTGTCTGAGCCAGTACTGCTAATGCACCGCTAATCCGGTAGCAGGATTAAAGCAGTAAGGAGTGATTGAAAAGCCAATTATGGTTTTGATAGCAAAATGGTGTTTGCTTGCATCTGTGTGTTCCAAATATCCAGGCCGCACACACGCGCTTTTGAGAATCACCCCAAAACACAACAATACACACAATGCTTCATCTCATCTGCTTGTTACCAGGATACAAGGGGTAAGGGCAAGCGGGTGGGTTAGTTGCCATGACTACCCAAATGCTGCCAAGGTACTGGGATGTTGGAAACGAGAAGAAGAGGCCACTCCTGTTGATGGGAGTGCTGCGCTTCTTCAGACGAGCAGGTGGACTGGCAGACTGTGGCATTTTCCCGATGATTGAAATCAGCTGCTTGGGAATTATTCAGCAGTGTTGATAAGGTCAAGATGTGTTAGAATGTCATATCATTTTAACTAAACTGAAATAGCAAATCTACCAAAACAAAGTTAACCCAAATCTAAAAGAATCAAAGACATCAGCAAAGACATACTTTCATGTTTTGGAACGGTTACAAAGGCTAAAATATTACAACATTGTATCCAAATGTCAGTAAATGTTCTCTGCTGCAACCGCCTTAAGCTTTACAAAAAGTATTATGAATTGATGGACACTGACGTCGTAAAAAGAAATGGCCAGAAGGTCCCTAAGTTAAATTGCCTCAATCTGTCGAGTATGAGTTTCTCGTGACACTCCAGTGCTTTTATGAATGTTCAAATGATGCCATTTTCTGATGGAGTTAATGATGATTTTCTGCTTAATTCATAACATGAAATACAACCGCCTAAAAATGTCACACATTTACAACTACTTATAGCTAATTGTAAAATAAAACAGTTTATCTACAGTAGGAAAAGCAATTAATTGAAATAATGTTCTTCAATACAAATTGCTTTACTGTTTGGTGGCCTTTCTTATTTTATTTTCAACATAGCGAGCATCATGCACTGTGCATCTGAAAATCTTAGTTCCAGAATTGAAATAAATGCTAATTTTTATACAAACCCTCCCATGTGGTAGTTATCATAACTGTTTCACCTCAGCCAATTATCATTTTTCTAATACTGAGGGTCCATTCCACGGTGCTTTTAATCTCAATCAAACACACAGATGGATGCTGGGATAATCTGAGCCTTTCTTGGTACTTTAGTCATCCCTCTGCTGATGCTGCATGTGACGGCCCTCCGCCCCCGCCGACTGACCCCGTCTTACTCATTACGCCACCGTTTGAGCCCCTGGCTGAACTCCCAGGCTGTCACGTGCAGTCGCCCCGGGCCGTAATTCTTGCTCACTGACACTCGGCGCTCTCTCAGTCCTGCTAGCAGCTAGCTTTGCCTTTTGCTGTCAGTTTGACTGGCTTAAGTGAGCGGAGAGCGCACGTGTCACAGCCTGAAATGACTCGGTGGTAACCAGCAGCATGGCCCGCTCGCCACGATGCAGCAGAGCCTATTCTGGGCTCTCCCTCTCCGTGGAGCCATTTATTCTTACTTTAACAGAGAATAGTCACACTGTGTGTGACATTTCTTTTTCGAGCAAACCCCTCGCAGCTTCTCATGTGATTATGTAAATTGGTGGGTTTTTTTTGCACTTATTCCTCCCGAGAAATGGATTCATTCCGTTTCTGTCTGAGTTGCCTTCCTTTCCTCCTTTTGACCTTTTTTTTGTTTTGTTTTGTGTCCCACAGGCGTGATCATCGTGCCCAGCGCCGGAGTGGGCATCGTGTTGGGGGGTTACATCATCAAGAAGCTGAAGCTCGGCGCGAGGGAGTCAGCCAAGCTGGCCATGATCTGCAGCGGCGTGTCTCTGCTCTGCTTTTCCACGCTCTTCATAGTCGGCTGCGAGAGCATCAATCTGGGAGGCATCAACATACCCTACACCACTGGGTGAGACGGAGTCCTCTTCACCGAAACTAAATCCCAGGCTTACAACACAAGATGATTGCTGCTTTTTGGAGGTTAAGGGCAGAAACAAATGGGAGCTATGTCTCCAACACTCTATTCGACACGCGGTATGATGAGCGTTTCCTGGTAGAGGGGGTGGGTGTGGGATGCTTTCCCCCATCACCCTCGTGTTGTGGCGTTGTGTCGGAGTGCGAGTGATTAATTAGCAACGCTGGCATCTGCTCCCGTTGCCCCGGTGAATCACTTTGCCACCTCTATTTCTGAGGCTGTTGCTCCACCGCGCTAACAGGCGCCTGACGTGTCAGCCCTGCAGGCAGAACTGGGGAGCTCGTCGGCATGTGAGCAGTCACAGACACACACTGACCTTGCACGATGCAGAAGAACCAACAGAAACACTGATTCTGTTGCCATATCCCCTCGGATGTCACACGGGAACCAAAGTCGATGTTTTTGTTAAAGAAACCTGAAACTCTGGCTGTGAGTGCGCTCAGCGGCGTTTCTAAAACGGCTAAAACACCGTTTATTCATTTGAGTATGTAGAGTTAGAGGAAAGTATACAAACCTCAATCCTATTTTTCTGATAAACATCATCCTTTTTACTTTGAGGCTAACAACACAATTCTGTGGTAGAAAAGAGGAGGCTTAAGTCTTCAGGGTATGAAGCGGACAGAAATCTGCTGTGTAATCCCTGCAATGAAAACACTGTTACTGCATCCACAAATGCAGCCTACAGCCACCATGCAAAGACAGAAACCTATTCAAACACTCATCAGAAACTAACTTAGGATGAAGAAGTTTCAGGGGATTTAGGAGACCAGGTCCACAAACGCATTATATGTCCAAGCTCAAAAAACTCCCCAAACACAAAACAGTATAAAGAAACAAAAGTCCTACCAGCACTGCTGAGGGAGTCTGGAGAACGCAACCCCAAACACCCACTCAAAGACAAAAAACAGTTTAATTCTTTAAAGGAGGACTTTGATTCCCTCATATCATCCTCTCCCAGCTTTGTTGGGACACATAACTATCTCTCTACATATATTTGATATCCTGTCTTACACAGCTTCTCAGTATTTTGGGAACAGTGTTGTATTTTTATTATGAAAATTACTTTCCATCAGGTATAATTGGCAAATGAGCCTCAGAAGCCCAATAAATACACATGTAAGTTTTAAACTGCTAATCTTCTGAGCAATGCAGCTTTCATGTTATTTATTAATATTGATGAGAATTTGCTGGGCTGCTCGTGTGTTGTTTAAACTCTTACAGATATTTTGATGTTTAGAGAGGGTCTACGAGACTGAGAGTTGGTGGGGGGGGGCTTCATTATGAACTGAAATGGTCACCAGTCACGGGTAGCACCCACATGAGGAGCCTTTGGCTCGAGCCTCCTCTTTGTGTCTGCGCTTTAGTTTCTGGTCTAAACTCTGGCTGCCTGCTGACAGCCGGATCAGCCTGGACAAAGCCAAGAGGGTAATCGGGTTATGTAATATTCTTAAATAAATGTGATGGTGCTGCATGAGTTGGTGTTTGGATGATATGCTCAATAAAAAGACCCAAATGTCACCTCTTTGACTAGTAAACGAACTAGCCTTAAAAGACCGCGGGGAACCCGCTTGGTTCACTTTCCTTTTTCCTCCTCAGTGCTGGAGCGTGTTAAGCTGCTCGCTCTCTTGGCTCTGTGTTTGGTTGGGGTTTTATCCGTATGTTTTCTTTTCTGTTTGTTGCAAAGCAGCACGGGCTCAGTGGCGGCATCTGGAGGGTTCAGGGAAGGCCAGAGTTCAGAGGACACGTGGCCAGCCCGCCCTGCTGTCGTTTGACATCCGCAGTACCTGGCATCAGCACCATGCCACCGTAGCATCCGGATGAGCTGGCTACATTTTTTTTGCGGTTTTGTGTGCGACAGTCTAAGATCACACACAGTAATTAGATCAGGAACCGGTGCCCCCCCCTGCCCGCCCCACTCGGTGCTGTCCCTGTCAGTTCCGCAGCGCTCTGGGGGAAGCTTTCCAGAGAAAACCCAGGCCTCGCTTCACCGCTCCCGCCCCACACACAGCCAGAGTCCTGTCTGGCTTAGAGCAACTGTTCCCACGCCAGCCAGAGGCAGCGCGGACGCCGCTCCTCCTGGTGTCACACAGGCTCTAAGCCGGCTGACCTGGATTATGGGGGGGTTATTACTAAGGCATCCGTAAACATTCTGAAGAGGATTGGGAACATGAGGTGCGTTGCCCGTTCTCCACTGATGTTGCTTTCCCCGCATTCGTCTCCGCAGCCCCACCCTGACCATGACCCACAGGAACCTGACGGGCAGCTGCAACGTGAACTGTGGCTGCAGGATCCACGAGTACGCCCCCGTCTGCGGCTCCGACGGCATCACCTACTTCAACCCCTGCCTGGCTGGATGCAGCACCGTGGGCAACGACAGCACCGGAGTGAGGAACACTTCCTATCCTAATGTCCACTAGTTGCCCCGTGCCTCCTTTTTACTGTCCTGTCAAATGTGCTATTCCCACCAAAGATCAGTGAATGCAATTTGACAGAACCCGTATAAAGGACAGTCACTGCTGATGCACCAGGCTTGTGTGTGCACTCGCTTCCCTGAGTCTCAGAGAGGGAAAATGATCCCAATGGAAGCACAGAGATGTGCATATTCTTTATCCAGATTACCGACTGCACTGCGTGTCGGCTGTTCTCACAATAGCCCGAAGGCTCCTCTAACAGGGGAATCCTGCTTGTGTCCACAGGGCAGAAACTACACGGACTGTGGCTGCGTGCAGAGCCGGCAGGTCATCACGCCGTCCTGCGGCGGCCAGGGCAACCAGCTCCAGCTGGTCATCGTCAAGACCTACCTGAACGAGAACGGCTTCGCCGTGTCGGGGAAGTGTGACCGCACCTGCAACACGCTCATCCCCTTCCTCATCTTTCTCTTCATCGTCACCCTCATCACCGCCTGTGCCCAGCCCTCCGCCATCATCGTCACCCTCAGGTAAGGAGCCCCCGCCAACCACCAACCCCGTGTCTCCGCCAGGTGAGCCCGATGCAGAAAATCCCTCTCACTGCACGCCGTCTCTCCCCCCTCAGGTCTGTTGATGAGCAGGAGAGGCCGTTTGCTCTGGGGATGCAGTTTGTTTTGCTCCGAACTCTGGGTATGTCTACTCATTACCACCGCCCACTTCCCAGTAACAGCACAATTATTAACGGCCGTTTCCCACCGCTCGGCCGGTGTGGGGAAAGTAGCGCCTGTGTAATTACTTCTAGTAATGAGGCTGTAAGTGACCTCTTGAACGGTGGGCACACAACATGCGGCCAGCCCCCCCCCCACCGCCTGCCGGTCTGTAATATGCTCCCTCCCTGATTTTCTCCCAGCCTGCAAACAGCCTGCAGTTCACAGTGAGCCTCTGCCCTCTTTGCTCCTGAGCCCCGAGGGGACGGGCTCTGCCCTAACAGGCCTGTGATCAGCCTGCTCTGCAGAGGGAACACATCGGGAACACGGCTGCCCCGCGGCTGCAGGCTGTTTGTGCAGTTATGACACGAAGGGACTCCGAAGAATCCGAGTTCCTGAATGTCATTTTGTGCAGCCCGTGCACTCGTTTTTTTTCTCTTTCTTCTTGATACATCAGCTCTGCACAGTTTGCTCATATAAAACCTTAGCCTCTTTAGATAATCCTGCCAGGGGAATTATTTCAGAGGGAATCCATAAAGTTCCCGCCAGCTGAAGCCAAATGGTGCCACCAAGTGGTCTGAGAAAGTACTGCAGCTCATTCAAAGCAGCCCACAGTTGGCATGTAAAGGACAGATGTCCCTGACCAGAGTGTGTGTGTCTCCCTTCCAGCCTACATTCCGACGCCCATCTACTTCGGCGCCGTGATCGACACCACCTGCATGCTCTGGCAGCAGGACTGCGGCGTGCATGGCTCCTGCTGGGAGTACGACGTCACCTCCTTCCGCTTCGTCTACTTCGGCCTGGCCGCCAGCCTGAAGTTCGTGGGCTTCATCTTCATCTTCCTCACCTGGTACTCGATCAAGCACAAGGAGGCGCGGGCCGAGCGCTGGCGCCAGCACCTGCCTCCGCTGGGCACCGTCAGCGAGCTCATCTGCCACGCCGGCGGCCAGAAGAGCCACGCCCGCACCCGCTCCTGCCCCGTCTTCATCCCGCCGCGGGCCGAGCCGCCCGCCGCCGCCCTGCTGCTCAGCCGCGGCCACAGCAGCCTCAGCTGCCCGGGCAACGCGCTCAAAGCAATAACCGCCCCCATCCTGGCGCCGCACCCCCACAGAGGCTCCGCCCACGTCTGAGGGACCACGCCGGCCTCCTCGCGGGCTCCACCGTGCCTTCCCATCGTTTGTGTTTCGGCACAACGCGGCGTCCGCACACGACCGGTCAGGCACAGGGCGGACAGGCAGAGACTCAGCTGGACCCCTCCCACACTAAAGGGCTGCGCCACGCTCACGGTAACAGTGGTTTTACTCAGAGCATATCATCTGCTGCACCACACTCTCCAGGCCCGCCGGGATGGACGTCACATGGTGCTACTGTTCACGGGGCCGGGCATTACAAGCTCTGTCCAGTCAGGCAGGTCATCAACACTAAAGCACAACAAACCCGTACTATGCAAACCTCTGTGTACAGCTCCCTCAGCAGTCCGCATAAACCTCCCATCTGCGCAAATCACAGAGTTGTTGTCGGCCCTTTTGTGTTCTAATTTTCCGGAACAGGTAGAGCTCAGCCGTGTATTTTGGAGCCGTTTCTTGTTCATACATGCTAGACACATCCTCAGATGTGACAACGGTTTAAAAAAAAAAAATCCTCTTATCTTCTTTTCCTTATCAGTGCCTCTTAAGCTTTCCCAGCCAGTGAGAAAACACCGCCAGGTGTCAGGGTCAGTGCTAACAACTGAAAAGCCAGTCCCAGCGACAACTCTCTGCTTTGCTGCGTCAGCACTCCATTTTTTAATCAGCCGTCACGTGTCCTGTTATGAACTTTTTCTCCTTGTAGCCTAAAGCAGACGGGCACCAGTGGTACAATGTTAGAAAGGTAAGTGGGAGGTAAATGAGTCATTTCTGACCAAGTGCAGAAGCTACTGTACATCCTAAACATGTGGAAGTAGTTTAGAGATAATGGCAACATTGTGATCTTATTCCACCCTTTTGGGTATAAAACCCCTCCGATAATGTGGCTGTCTATTGTAATAGCTTCTCCATTCTAACCCTTATGAGATGTACATAGTGTTTTTTAGCTGTCTAGACTTTAAAAGATTTAGTTCAGCAAACTTGAAAGCATTTGAGAGCTGGGAGGATGCAGTCCCACTCAGCTCTTTAGGGATTGGTGCCCCCTAGTGGACGTAGAGAAGGTTGACGTTGCTGTTTGGCACACCTGCTGTATTTGACCTTTTTTTGGTTCTAAAGTGTTAAATGTTCGGATGAAAAAATTGTCTGACGTTGGCGCTGCAGTTCCCCAAATATTGTATTTGGGGGAAAAGAATGTTGATGCTAATTTTGCAGGCGTTGCCGTGTTGTCCAACTGTTTCCAATTTCTGTGTTTAAACCACTTAAATGAGGATGAACTGTCAAGTACATGCCAGAATATGTTTTATTTGCTTTTAAAATGTTCTGATGATGAGCAGAATAGAGAACTTCTCTAAAAAGGTTGCAGAGATGTTAAAGAGGCTTTTGTGTTCTGATATTGGACATATCAAACTACTACAAAAGGAAAAATCTGACATATGTAAGAAAACCAAATCTTATGGAAGCTTTTTCATATACGGGGGGGGGGGCGTAGGGCTTATTAATTTAAATGATACTATTTTGAGTATTATAAATTTAGTAAATAAATGTTGCACATAAGAGAAGACTTAAACACAGTGAGTGAATTCCACGTTAAGGGTTTTGGTCAAGAGTCGTGTATTTCTGCCGGGTGGCAGTTTTAGTATTAATGTGACTTACCTTAAAGTACATAATCGTATAGGCATGTAAATATGGAAAGCAAATTAAGCATATTATAGAATCATAGATAGAAGAGTATTTATGAACTAACCCATGACATTGTAGTTGAAACGTAGAATTAAAGCTACAAGCGACCCGAGCGGTGACCAGTATTATCCACACGGAGACAGATCCTTTCATATCAATGTGGGAGGGAGTTTTTAAAGATGTTAACAGGAAATCACTGGAAATGACACCGTGATGGCCCTTCTTTCCGCCTACTCTTCCCTCTCTTGGCATTTTTCCTGCTGATGTAATAGCTGCACAAACTGTTCTGGTCTGTACACTGTTCCTGAGGAAGTAAATCCAGGCCTCTCGAAATTAAACAGTCCTACAGGAATGAGGCTAATAAACTCTGCATGGAGAGAAAGAGTAAAGAATCATCCAGAGGCACCACAAAGGAAGTGTGTGACTGTACGGTCCATCCATGGCTCCATCGTCCTGCTCTTAAACACCTGGATCACTTCCTGCCCACTGTAAGCTCTGCTTTACAAACGTTGCCCTCTCTTCGGCGTTTGAACTGAAGGTGAATTTTGGGGACGGGACTGAAGCTGTACTCTGAAAGCTAAGCTCTTACTGCTTTGTGTTCTTCAAGAGCCGAAGTCAAATGATGTTTGTGAACTCTTGGTTTACAAATGCCTTGAATACTTGATATTTGTCATTAAAAACTGGGGGGAAAATGATTTGAGTCATTACAGAGTGCTGTTCATTGAGACACGTGGGGTTTGAAGGGGTTTTTATTTCTTAACAGTGTCATGGCTTTACTGAAACCAGAGTTCTAACACGTCTACACACACCATCAAGAAGGAAAACACTTGTAGCACGAGACTTCTGACTGGCTGAGATTTAAGGCCAGGAGAAGTCTTTGTCAAGACATTTTCCAGTGGACTCTGCAACCCTGCAGATGATTTTGAGTAATTAAACCGTCAGACAAAACTGACGGTTGATCTGTTCAAGAGTGTAACACTACGCTGGGTTATGGGAGCCCTACAGGCTACGCTGCCGTCACGACTGCTGCCTTCTACACAACCAACATTTCCTGGTGACTGTAAGTATTAGTTTTGATTAGTCAGGAACTTCAAAATGTGAACCTGTAAAAAGTCAGACTTTTCAGAGCCAGATCAGAACAGCCAATTAGAAATGAATGTGGCCTGGTTTTAAAAAGAAACAAATTAGGGCCTTCATTTGCTTGAAAGCCTGTACGTGGTAGGTTTGCAGCAGCTGGGTCATTCCGGTAAAGCTCAAGTAGTCTAAATGTAGTCTAAAGTGACTGTTTCAATGATTGTCTAAACTTATTGTTACGGTGTAGATACAAAACATAAAAGGAAAGCTTCAAGATGATTGAGTTATTTGCACAAAAGCTGTTGTGTTCATATAACTTTTTCAAAGATTACAATGCAGTTTTTGTCCTCGCATGCAGGAATTTCGTTAAATCTCTCCACATCCACAACGGACAAGTGTCAGCGTGGCAAAAGTTCGAAAGTGCATTTGGGGTTTTCTCCTGGAGTGTCCTGTGACGTGGCTGCGGAGTCGTTGGTTTAAAGTCTGCGGAGTTCCTCGCTGCAGAGATGGTTTCACCTCTCACCGTTTTCATAAAAACATCAGTTTATCCATTTGGAATCAATCGTTTTCAATCCCAAGTGGTAAACTTAGCTGCATTAAGGTTTTTTCTTTTCTAAATATATCCATTTATATATTTGAAAAAAGAAAAAAAACATAATACTGTTCACTAACAAATGTAGGCACCAGTAAAAAAATAAACAACTTTAATAGTCATTATACAACTCTGGCTTGGCTGGGGGGGCGTTAGCCGCCGCGGCTCCCGGCGAGCTCGGCTCCTGAGCAGCGTCCGTGTCACCATGGTGACCAGGAGCCTATCGGCTGGCCTGCCTCAGAGGGTCTGATAGGTGGGCTGGCGCAAAGAGCCGCTGCCCTCGTAGTCCAAGCTGAGGGGCAGGGCTTCCAGCACCAGCCCCGCCCTCTGGGATGAGCGGGACTGGGAGGAGGTGGCGGTGGGGGTCCCGGCGGCGCCGGCCGGTCCCGTTGGCCTTAGAGGGAGATAGCCTTGGGCCTGGAAAATGTCCTCTTCTTCGGGAACCAGACTCTGGCTGACGGCGTGGGGTCCGGGGGCCCCCTCCTGGTCCAGAGGGGGGTCCGGGGGGGCTGGCAGGCTGCTGTGGGGGCTACGCAGCAGGCCGCCGTGATGCGTCTCCAGCTCTGTGGGGCCGTTCCCGCTGAACAGCTCGCCCTCCATCTCCTCCAGCTGCTGCGCCCACATGTTGCTCTGGAACACGGCCCTGGCGGGCCCGGGGGGGGCGGCTGAGGCCGGCCCCCCGGACCGCCTCGCCAAGCTCTCAGGAAGGTCGTTTCTCACAGAGTCCAGGCTGTGGGGGGCTGCTGGAGGGGTCCTGCTGGGGGCGGGGGTGGGGAGGGGGGGGGGCGGGGGCCAGGCCCGGCCAGACGGCGCTGGCTGTGGCCAGCTCGTCTCCGCTGCCCGCCCCGGAGCCCAGCTCTGGCAGGGCGGAGTCGTCAAGCTCTAGGGTTTGGTTTAATTGGTTCAACACGTGTAGCAGTGCAAACATTTTATCTACATCCTTCTGGAAGTTGGCCCAGTTGTCCGGGCTGGGGCTGTAGTCAGTCCTACATTCATACAGGCTTTCGTTTATGCTATACAAATCCTCCAGTTCCTGCCAGTTCACCTCCTCATCCGTCAAGTTGGGTAGCTTAACCCTTTCTTCCCTCCCAAACTGGCTGTGTGCTGCCAAAGAAAAGAGAAACAAGAGGACTTTTAGGGATCTGCTGTCAAGGAATGAGGAGCTCTTTTCAAGTAATCTCAGACAGCATGCAGCCATTCCCAGCTTCCGGATCGGTACAACAGCCAACTGGACGGGGTCTGCGGCCCAAAACGGGCTTCAAAGCAGCACTAGATAAACACTGAGCTTAAGCCATGAGTAGAGCAAACATGCCTAATTCACAGTCAGGCGGACTGAAGTCAAAATATTCAATGAGACATTGTAACAGAACGACACGCTAAGCTGCAGGGGGAGACAGAAGGGCACAGTTAATGGCAGGCCTGCACCGAAATGCAAAGTCAGTAAACCTGAAATAAAAGAAGCAGAAGAAACAAAAACAAAATATTTGATCAACAAAACGAAAAGCCTCGGAAAAACAAAAGAAAAGAAAATGAGCTCGAGACTGAGAGGTGCATCCCCAGAAAATAGATGCTAGAAAGGAAAGAAAAAAATAAGCAAACTGCAGCAAAAGCCAAAATTAGAGCTTGGTTTGATGTCTGCAAGTAAAACTGAGGAACAGAAGCATCGGTGGGGCCGCCGTTTGACTGGAGGTCAGCCTTCCTGTTTCCTACTGCAGCATGAGATGGACATAAGCTGGGGCACTCACAGGAAGGAGAGGCTTGGTCTCCTCTTTGACCACTTTGGATGCTGCTGCGGCCTGGTAAGCAGGTGCCCGAGGGCTCAGAGGTGCAGAGGTCAGTAGGCGGCCCGAAATGTTGGCTCTACCACTAAAATGTGCGAGTGGATAATGGGAGCTATTCTGAATGGCATGCTAACACTGGCACCGCACGGGATGAGCAGGATGGGATGTGGGTGATCATATATGGATGGGAATGCGTCTACAGCCCCCCCCCCAGGTTTTAGAGGTTTCCCTGCTTCTACACACCTGATTTCTATCAACACATCGGCAGGCTGGTCTTTAGAGGAGATCCATCCTGTCTGAGTCAGGTGTGTGGAAACAGGGAAACCTGTAAAAGCTGCGGGGCAGCGGCCCCTCGGGGCCCGGAGTGGCCCACCCCCATGTTGAAGGAATAGTTTCACATTTTGGGTACTTTATTTATTCTAATGTATTTTGAAAAGCTGGATGATTGATAGTTCTTTCAAGTTTATCCAATGTAAACTTACAATAGAATGTAGAGGGAAACAATGGGAAAAAGCTGCCCTCAAAATAATTGCACAAGTTTAAAAAAAAATCTAAATTTTTTTTGTGAGTAAACTATATTCTATGAATTTAACAGCAGACATGATGTGGCGATAAAATTCAGCATTTTAATTTTAATCCATACCAACTGTCTTTTGGCTGTCTATTTGAATAAGAAAGTAATATGACTTTTGAACTTATTCCCCAAAGTGTCAACCTTTTCCTGAAGCTTTCATGTGATGATGCGTGATTGAGATGATACAGCATCATGCGTGGTCCCTCACTTGATGCTCAGTTTGATCTCGTGTAAATGCAAGTCGTGCTTTCCTACAAAAGGGGTCGTCTGTCATGTGTTTTTTCAACAGGAAGCTGGTATGAAGGTGTGAAAATACGTGATGGGGAACTTTCTAAATTGTCGTTTGCATGTTCAAGGAGCTGCAGAATCACGTTACACAGCACAAAAAGGTCGAGACAGATTGTGTGCGCAGAGATGGGGGGAATCAAATAAACTTCTGTTATGATTTGTTAGGGTGTTCCCAGCATGCAGCCACAGGACAAGCGTCAGCACTCCATGGATGGACGTATTAGTGGGAATGAGGCAGTTGGGCCCGTGCAGGTGTTAAAGAAGAAGCTACTGAAGAGGAACAAAACTTGGTGGATACCTGTGTGGCTCATAGCTTCCTCCATCTTTACCTCCTGATCGGAAAAATAAAAGCAATCGTTTGTTAATGCTTTGATTCAAAGGGATGTGGAGGGGGAAATAAATAGATGAGTCACACTGAGTCTTTCTTCATGCACTGACGCTAACTGCTGAGGAGAGATTAAGTTAACTGGTACTGGAAGGAGGAATGAGGAGGAGGAAGATTTGAAAGGAGGAAAACAAGGAGAAAAGTGGTGAGAACTGATTTAGAATAAAGTGATTCGATGAGTGATGAGTTCAACGGGTTTTCTCCTTCAAGGTGAATTACTATCCAGCGGGGTGATTGTCAGGACTAAGCCACCCTTAGCAAATAGATGCTGCTAGATCCATTTCAACAGACAATTTAACTTTAATAATCCATTTCTCCAACAAAAACACCACTTGATGTAACCACAACAGCTATTTCACTGGTTGACAAAACTGGCTTTTCACTCGAAAAAGGGCAGCCAGCAAATGTAAAAGATTTTAGGCTGTTTTGTGACATGAGCTGGCATGCTTTCGACAGGCCCAGCATGCCAGCAACAAAAACACAATTGAGTTCTGGAAGCGCAGCTTGGCTGCTGCAGAGCTCCGCTCTCCAGCCGGTAATTATAGACATGAAGGTTTTATCCTCAACTCATAAACAGCGCAGCCAGTCCATGCCACACAAACACTGCGGGCTTATGTCATTGTGACATTACTTATTAAGCATCTCCATCACTCGGATGTCTCTTCTTAAGGATGCTTGGACCACTGAGTGGTGGTAAGAATGAAATATTACGGCTGACGATAGCAATAAAGCATGAGGGGCTCAAGTAAAATGACGGCCTGAATTGCAATCATGTCAGCATCTTCAAAATAATATCTTTAACACTCAGTGACTCACAAAGAGGATGACGGCCAGCTTACTGATTCTGGTACAAAACTATTACTGGAAATGGTAATATGAGGACATATGGTGGGGGGGGGCATACTGGAAGAGGAAAGGGTCCAGGGCTGAAAGAAAGGGTGATGTGTGTGTCTACGTCATTGTGGGGGAGGAAAAAAAGTCAAGTGTGGATAAAGAAAACAAATCTCAGAACAAACTTAATGACCTCCACCCGAGACTTCAGCACACGTGGCCGAAGGGCTGGTCCCCGTCACATGCAGCATGCAGACACCAGCAAACACACCACGCAAACTGGAACAGACTCACAGCAGAAGGGGGAAGTCTCTTAAATCGATCTTTCTATTTACAGATCACACCGGCATTCAGATAGTAATTCAGCTCAAACTAATGGGCTTTTATCCACATGCATCCTAAATGCTTCTGTGAGAAGAATCTGTTTCAGTCAGTCGTGGAGTAAAAGCTACCACCACATGTCAGTCCGTAGGGTCAATCGTCTCACATCACACTCAGAGACAATAAGGCAGGAATGAAGGGCAGCGAAAAAGGGAATGTTTTACCTGTGTCCGTGCCTTTAGGGCGAGGGTTACACTGCTTGTATCCCTGACAGCTCCTCATCTCCATGAGCTGAGCATGCAGTGCATTCAAAATGTCCCGATCCACGGCGTACACTGTATTGGTCAGCTGCCAAGTTCAACACAATCACACACTTTTCAATAAAATTGGACTTTGTCAGGGACCAATATTACATTTTATGTAAGCATTTACAACCTTTATGAAGATCTTTATTCAATTCAAATACTCAATTCAAAGATCAGACATCCAATTGTGTCTGGGCTGGCTCTGGGCTGTCAGATGCAAAGGGGATGTGACTTGCAAATTGTACTTTTTCAAAGTTTCAGGAAGTCCAAAATTGTGTTTGTATTTTTATACTGCATAACTTCTGCATTATAAAGTCTTAGCTGCTTTCCTCTTAACAGGAAAATGTCCACAAAACAAGAATATCTGGTAAGTGTTGAAAAATGGTCCAGGCTGCAACATGGATCTTTTCCACAGACCCACTCTGCAGAGATTTAAGAATTAAAAGCCCCTTTGAAACTGTGCTTACTGTGGAGAAAACCTAATAGCTTCCCATCAAAAAGCTTTCACTTTGGATCTATATCATAAAACTTCTCCAAACTACAAGCACCAACTGGTCATAAGTATTTCGCATTTTAAATTTCCAAAGAGTTAGGAATGATCCTCAAAGACAAAGCTGGGCAGGCAGTGAGGCAGCACAGGTTAATGATGGAAGACAGATCTTCACCTACCTGATAGGGGTCACTGTTGAGATCAAAGTATTCCAGGAAGCCAGTGGAAAACTCGCAGAATAGCGTGTTGTGGGTCTCATTGATGGTTCTCAGACACCAGTAAGTGTTGTTGTTGGAGCTGGTGCATGCACAAAATCCACCCACTGGAAGAGAATTGACCTTGTCATTATTGTCAGCCTGGACCCTCTCACACCAAGACATGAAAGGGAGGCGTGGAATAAATTTAGCAGAACACTGGAAATGGTGTAAAGACAAGAAAAGCAGCCTCTAATACTGACTGACACAAGAATGCTCTTATCCGCCATCATGGGGAATTGAGAAGCCTGAGCTAAATATACACACATGTCCAGAAGGGAGCGGTCTGCCAGTGGTCATTGTTGTGGGTGAAGCAGGTGAGGCCCGGCAGGCTGCAGTCATCTCCCTGTCTCAGCCGTTTTTTCTCTTTCCTTTCCTTCTTCCTCCTGCGGATCTCATTGTATAACTGGGTCTTCCCATCAATTTCTTGCGCTGCCTCCCTGTAACACAGAAACAAGAAGGAATTTCTAAAAGTGTGATGCAAACATGACATCAGCCTCTACCCTCTGCTGCCTGAAACCACAGCAATGGATGATATAAAGGGGACTTCCACGAGGCTTCACCCATGCCAGGATATGACAGTCTGTTTACTTTTATGTTTAAGTTCTTACTACGTCCAATTTTCTCTGGGATGACATTTCAGCCACCGTCCCTTCTTCCTCCCCGTCTGAACACACAACAGGCCCCGCGTAAAACAGCTGCTTTGTATTGGCATAATCGGTTCCCAGTGTTTCCTGGTGCAAGATGATCACTGCATTTGAGAGGCTGACTGATTTCCCCTCTGTTGAGTCATTCCGTCTTTCCGTGCAACTCAATCAATTCCAGACACAGGCATAAAACGGATCCATGTGTTTTGTCATTTTAACTCCATTCAGGGACCCAACAATCAATGAACGTTTATAAACGGAATGCTTCTTATGAAACCTGGAAAGTTCAAGGGTCACAAACACCACTGCGTCACACGACAATGAGACTTTATGAACAAAAAGACTGTCTGTGACCTACACAAAATAGATTGATAATCTCAACATTTGCACACTTCAACAAATACAGTCAACAACAATCTACCTGGATCCTGACAGTTACAGATGTCAGGGTTGTCTGTCTATAATTAAAAAAGGAAAATGTAACTCACTTAAATGGATGAAGTTGATTATTCCTGCTCTTCAATCTCTCTGCCTTGTTTCTGTGTCCTTTGTTATAATAGCTGTTTTTATAAACAGAGAAAGAGACTAAGGATGGGAGAAGAAAACCTTTTGTCTGTGCATTCTAACAGGATTTGATCTATGTTTTAAATCAAACCTCAAATGTATTCTATTTTGAATAGAAATATAAAAGGAAAGATGCATTTTTAAAGCGGGATGCCAACAACCAACCTCTTTCCACAGTCACACTCATCTGGCCGCGTCCTCTTCAGATGGCCTCGGACTTCTCGAAGGTTCTTTATTTTGTCTTGAAGCGCTTCGATCTATAGAAAAATAAGTAACCAATGTCACAAATTATGTTTCACTAGTGATCGTTTATTTCTCAGAACAGCTTCACACACTCACCTCCTGGTCCACGTAGCTCTTGTGATCCTTCCAGGCTCTGGAGGACTGGTAGATTTCCCTCTCACAGTGGACGCTGTCATTCATCAAGATGTAACATCTGAAAAAGGATCCGAAAAATAAATATCCTGCCCTTCTGACAAACATAAGGTGAAAAAGTTCCCTATTAATATATTCTTCCATAAGCTTAAAAGACTGGATTTCTCACTTGTGAGTGACTTTCACAGAGTTCGGGTATCCCACTGCATTATTATCATCTGCCAGCATCTCCTCTGAGCCATCATCAGAGCCCCAGTCAAAATCGGGGTCCTCTGGGCTGTAGTGACGCTTTGAGATGACACGCCGGCGGATGGCTGACTGGTCATCTGCTTGCAGGTCAATGTCGTAAATCTGGCCCTCAAACTCCACGGACAGAGACCTGGCAGGCCGTGTGTGGACAAAACGAGGGTGACTTCCTGTGAGGAATTTAGAAAAAATGAGTCGAGACATGGTTTTCTTTGTTGATTTGGATTTTATCTGGATCCAAATATAGGAAAAGATGTTTGGAGTAAAGCTGCACTTGATCTGAACAACACTAGAGGGCAACAAAGCATTTGAGAACAAAATAGATGTAAGTCCCCCTTTAGAGCCTGAGTAATTCATTCAAGTAATAAAACAAAGCCTTAAGAGACTGATTTCATCCATTTGGCAATTGAGATAGACACAAAAATCTCATACAATATAAACCATCAAATTTTGTACAGTTTAAAAGACAAATCAGACTTAAAGGGAACATTTCAAAAGAATACCCACGTTGGCCTGCTGAAGAAGAGAGCTGTCTTTGGGCACGGCGGTCAGTTCTGGATGGTTTGTACGAAGCGTCCTCACAGTCACAGACCCTCTCTCGGTTGTCGAAGCTGCTTCGAGGCTTCAGGCTGCGAGGCCTCTTTCTGGAGCCTTCTTTCGAGCCACCTTTACACTTCTGTATTCTCCACTTCCCTGTGATCTCCTCCACACAGTGCCATTTCTGTCAATGGTAAGTTGCCAAATTAAACAAAGAGAAAAAAGTTTTCCATGGTTAAAAGACAGGTTGATGTGTGCATAGTCAGCCTCCCCATCCCGCTCACAAGTCCATCTTAAGCACTTCATTAAAATAGCTCCAAAAATTCACTTTTGTACAAAACATCGTCCAGATAAGATTCGCCATGAAAGGAAACGTTTGCGGTCCATTTCTGCAAGTGCTGCTGCCAATTAAAGCCTGTATATGATAGAAAAGATACATCTGTAGAATGCGTTTCAGATGACTAGTGCACAGTGTGGGAACAAAGGTCCAAACAAAAAGGAGTAAGAAAGATCAGGTTTCTTCTCGAGGAGCTTATGGGCCCAGTGCAGCAGTAGTATCAGCATTAAACAAGACGCATGGAGACAGACATGCATCTGTTCTTTATCCTTTCTTCTCATCCACCCGACTGCGTTTTACCCCATAAAGACCATATAACATGTTTGTGTATAGTGGTACCACTAACAGCAGCACAGCAGAGATTGGTAACAAACGGAAATTTGTGAAAATAAAAAGTTTCTAAAAAAAAAAGAAAGAAAGAAAGGAGTGGTTAGTTAGAGCAGGTTTTGCTGCCAGAGCACAGCGGCTGCTTACGTGGCTTCCAACAAATGTCATTTTACTGCCATCTGGGTTCGCAATTAAAGATTTACTTCACAGGATGACTCCTAGTTTTATTTTGTCAGGAGCAGAAAGGATGATTATGCATGCTGAAGCATGAGTGGCTTGCTGTGCTCTCCATTCGTGCTGCCCTGCATCCCTACCATGGATAGGCACTTTAAAGAGAATGTTACGCACAGCTGAACCGCTGCACCCACACTTCTGCATGCATGATACACTTTTAAGTCCAACCAAAATTGCTCCGTTACTGTCTTTAATAAGCGATTGTTACATAGACACATTTATGTGGTCATAAAATGGATCTGGACTGCATTAGTCAGACCGTAGAGACCCTGCCCGTCATTTAACACTACCTGAAATTTGTAACAATTTGTATAGCTCTGGCCTGTCTGCACCAAGGCCGCACGCTGTACCATCTGGAGGTTAGTCTGCCAGAAAATTAATGACCACAGATGAAAGAAAAGTACCCACAGATTAATGGACCACAAAACAGCCCAAAAGAGAGCATTGGAAACCAAATGATGCACTTGTACAAGGCTGGTTCATTTGTGGCTCTGGCAGCACATAGACAGTTCAATAGTGTGTTCATTATTGGTAGAGGGAGCATGTGCAATGTTTGTGAAGACATTTTTTTTACCTGTCCAGGCTGCTCACATGCAGTCTGGAATTCAGCCTGCTGGCAAGTCTCTCTGACCTTCTTGTATTTGGGAAGGCTGTTAGTATGTTGAGTGCTCATAGAGTCATCCTTCTTTCTCAGGATCTTTCTGCATGACACAACATGTAGCAGGACAGAGGGGGGGAAGGCTGTGTTAGGCATGTGACTTACTCTAAGGGTCAATACAACATTAAAATGAGCTCAATTAAGTTTTCATTCTCATAAAAAAAACTAATATACTGCTCTCATGGCCAATTGTGTGATCTCATAGTGTTGGCCAGTGAATGATAAGTTATAGTCTGTCAGCATGTGCATGACGGTCTCTACATGGGGAACCTTAGCCTCACTTCAGGCCGTTTGACCTCAGTTTAGCATAAAGTTTAACTGCCTCTTCACAGGTCATTTCCTCTTCAAAAGCCCTCTGCCAAGATGTCCAAAACGCTCCTGACCCAGTGACAAAATAGTGAGAAGAACGAGTCAATGAACAGCCTACCCTCTGAAAGAGTAGGGCTGTTCCCCTGTCTGGTTCTCTGTTTAGAAAGCTAGTTTTCACACACTAACTGAGTTGTTGTCTCTTGAATTCAACGGTCAACAGTTGTTGATGTCACTCCCTGTTGACTGTGTCACACAGATGATGATATTCTGCAACATCAGTCAGTGCCAATTGTCATTCAACATTTCACAGCTTCTGAAGTTCAGTCTACTGTAAGGTCATGTAAGGGTATTCAATTACCCACAATATCACATGACCCATAAGAGAACTGCACAGCACAACTTAGCTGCTGTGAGTGTGCTAATACTTGTGTGTGTGGGGAGGTTTAAGCGGGCTAATCTCAGCATTTAGCAACAAGTCACCATATAAGAGGTCTAAGTACATCAAATACTTGCAGGGGACTTATTTGTATGCATAGCAACAACTAAGAGGAGCTTCTCTTTCACTCTGGAATTTGTGTCTACAGATATGCAATCACTGGTAGTCCCATTCCCTTTTGGCTCATAGACACCATAATCTTGTCAGGAGTAGCTTGATAGGACAGTTAATTACACATCATGTATACATATACACACACAGACATGTATGTGTGTGTGTATATATATATATATATATATATATATATATCAGATGTTTGCAGGATTGGCTGCTACATTACACAGCAGAGAACTGGTGACAGGTGAGCCTTCCAGCCATTCCTCTGGTAACATCATCCTGAGCCTGGATAGCCTTTGTTTATTTTGCATACATTTAGCTGGGCTAGGTAACTGAAATACATATTTCTGCTGTCTCCACTGGTTCACAAATTGCAGGCCAATTTAGGACCTTAGCCTGAAAATGTGCTCAATATTTGCAAAGCCTCCAGAGAGCACAAAGACTGGTTTTGTTTTTGCTGTCGATGACCTGCTTACACACACGTTAGTACCCTTAGCATGAACCATCATGACTTGACAGTCATTTATAGCTTTACCAAAGAGCACTTCCATCTCCTCCACCATCACTGCCTTCCAAACCAACTGTGGTTAGGAAATGTATGTCTGATAACTAATAGCTGGGGAAAACAGTTGTGTTAGAGGGAGCATGTACTGAGTTGATGACATTTTGGGTTCATTCAAAAGTTTAGCCAGGTTTAGGTGACACACAATGCTCTGCATTGACATGGATGTTCCTGTGGTGTGGATGGGGAATAAAGAAAACCAACTTACCCTCGTTCCACCAGGAATGTGTCTCTCCAGACTTTTGGTTTCCGGTTAGGTTTGAATCTGGGAAAACAAAATGTACGAAGTTTATAGAATTCATATGGTCTTTCTACTGCAGTGTGTTGGGTGCAAACGCAGCCAAGATTTTGGAAGTCGATCACAGAAAGTTTGAACCTTGTGGGTTCAAAAAAACTGTCTAAATGCTCCTGAGTATTAAACAGTTTATCGCAGCAATTTTCATGTCTCTGGCTGTGTTTTTTGTCCAGAAAGATAAACAATAGACATTTGTTATAGACTGTCATTTTGCTTTCACATTGTACATTGTTAGTTTGGTGGGTTTTGTGGAGAAAGCTAGCAAACAAATTCTGCAGAAAACTTAATAAAGACCTTAGCAACTTGCAGCCAAAGTCACACGGCCAAGAAATTAATTCACCAAACTGCCCTGAACCCACTCGGAGCTCAGCTGGAGCAAAAGCAATCATTTAGACTCTGGAAATTTGCATTTGCTGTGTTATGGCCAGCAAAGAGAACTGTTGCATATATCAAGCACACTGTGCAATTATTGTTCATAATATCCATTACAGCATGGCATGATGGATCCATACAGACCTATTGCCAGTCCGGTCCTGTTCGAGCAGCTTAAGGATTGACTTTCCATCCATGTCTGGGGGCGTGTCCAGCCCCGCAATGTGGAGGATTGTGGGAGCCAAGTCAATGTTAAGCACTAGATGAGGGTTCCTGAAGTACATGCAGACAGAGTTAACCAAATCTTGCACAGTGAGTAAGATTTGATCAAAATAAACAACTGTTGAACAAAATAATTGAAGCGAGAGAGAACAATTAGAACATCAGGTTTGTGGTATGATATATTCTGGCATACACATTTATAAATGATCTAAAAACACAATTATCTGGGTTTTTACTCACACTGCTCCAGGCTCCACATTGGGTCCTCTCAGGAAGAATGGAACACGGATATCAAAATCATAAGGCATCGATTTCCCCTTGACTAAACCAAACTGGCCAATGTGGTAACCATGATCTGCTGTATAGATGATGTAAGTGTTGTCCAGCTCTCCAGTTTCTTCCAGCATGTCGAAAACCTGGTAAAGGTAACAATCAGCAGGTGCACTTGGGGTACATATTTAGAGCAAAATGAAGTCTTTAGATGCTTCTAGTTACCTTCTGCACCGAGTCATCCACAGACAAAAGTGTCTGTAGCCTTTTACGATGCAGGAAGTTTGTGAACTCCATGTGGATTGGTTTCATGGGGCCTGTGTACTGCATGATCCAGTGCTTGTCCATATTTGGAGCATAGTTGTAGCTAGGGGTGCTAGAAAAAGACACAAAAAGGAGAAATCCACAAATCACAAGCAGTGTCAGATAGGTAATCCATCATCTATCATTTGATAGGTCATCTACCCTACACACATACACACACACACACAGTTATCAGCAAGCATAACTGCTAGAAGCGCACATAAGATGCCAAAAAACACCTGTCTGCTACTTTTCACAAACTGCTTCTCAGCAACAGGTGCCACAGTTGTCCACTGTGTTCGACATGCATCAATAGTTGCTCTGTTTGGTGACAGAAATGTCTTGATGCTCTGCAGCCAGCACCTTCACTGTTTTTCCACTTCCCTCTCCGACCATCTCTCCTCTCACACAGAGACGAGAGTCTCCTCGCTCCACTGCGCTCTTGGCACAGACAAATCATTTGAGGGTTGGCACATGCTTATGAAAATAATAGGCCCCAAAGTCAAGTTTGCAACAACTTCAGGACCAAAAAACCAATAAGTCATGGTCATTTGAAATGGCGGAATAACAAGAGAGGATAAACAGCAAGGGGGAGGGAGACACAGTCTTGTTCATGGAGTTATAATTGCAGAAGCTGTTCATCTGCATGTGGTGTCAGACTACACAGGACAGATACTGAGCACCATACGATTTTGTGTTAGCAAGGTATCCAAAAAGTGAAAGCAAGAGCATATTTGAAAACTTATACATTAATCAGAATTGAATCAACTGCTTTAATTGGTTGTGTTATGGTGGAGTAATTTTCTCCTGTAAGTCACTCCCTAAACAGGCTGCTGTAATAAATGAAGGGCAACCCTTAATATCAGAACTTTAATGAAGACCTCCTGTAAGAGTCACCTTGGTCTCCCTGACTGAGCTGCCTTCTGTCCTCATCTCCTCAGGGCTGCTTTGTGAAAAGGGTGAACTCTTCACCCACTTATCGGGCGGTCTAATAAGCCCCACAAAGAGACCTGTCTCTGGGCAATGGGCCACCAAGGTATGGGGCTCTAAACACCAGGGGATCAAGAATGCAGAGGTCAGTGGAATGAAGCCAGTGCATAGGAGAGGTCACACCTGCAGCATATAGGCCCGGGTTGTTGTTTTTTTAATTTTATTTCTGCCTCTTTGTGACTTTAAAAAACTTAATACAGACCCATTCTACGTCAAAATGAGTGACTTTCCCAAAAGCAATTTGCTAGGTTATGATAAAAATGACTACAACTGCACAATGCTATTATAGGACATGCGACTGAGAAACCACATCAAGTATGTAGCATTTAAAGCAGATCACAGCTGAACCTACATCTAAAGCAAAAACACCTTCAGTGGAATGTTAATGACATTAACATCAAGCCCTCCTCTGCTATTGTGGCTGTCAAAAGTACAGACACTCATTTGATTTATGAGGCAGCTCCTCCTTTACTGCCATGGAGTCCTTCCCACCCCTGAGAGCAGCACACTTCAGCTGTGTAAAGAATCTGTTACAAAAATTAAACTCTGTCTGAGCAGATATGAAGCATATACCATACCAAACCATCTCAAACAACAATTGCTTACATCTTCATAACCTATCATGAAAGCAAATGATCAGCATATACTTAAATATCCGCTCTGTAAATCACCTGTGCCCCCATCAGGCCTCATCACTTCTTCTGCACACCGCACACACACACACACACAATCACTCGGGCAACCCTTTTCGTCACCCGTGGGCCCCTGCTCCACCCCCTTCACTTGGAGGCTCTGGTTAAAAATAAATTAATAATGTCACAAAGGGTGTTCCAAGGAACACAATGCATTCCTCACACCCCAGGAGCCATAGGGAGAAACTACTGATTGATATGGACAGGGTCAGGAAGTCCTTTGTGAATTACACCGGACAGGAGGAATGAGCGAGCTGGGATAAGAGAAGGAAATGAAACTCGGAAACACTAACAGAAAGATAATCAGAGACATACAGATAGATAAATCTTAAAGATAAATAAAAGAGAGTCAGGATAGAGAGTGAGAGGGAGTCTCACAGAGAGCAGCTGGAATCCAGTGGAGCAGTGCATCATGGGAGCCTGTTGGAGGGCATAGGGCCAGTGGCGCAACCAAAAGTAAATCGCAGCGCCCCCTCAGCTGAAGGGATGAGAGTTGAGGGAGACCACTGCTGGCTTGGCATGAACGCAATGCTATGTTAAAAAGCAATCCCCGATCTGTGCCATGGTATGTACCCCTGCTATTCTTGGATGATAAATCATTTTGAATTCACGCTTGCCTTGTCGTCGGCTCTCATAGCTTCTAAGCAACCTGTCATCCCTGGGGATTGAGGGGCGTGCCCACTGTCATCATGTTAGGCACACCTAATCATAAAAACTCAATTGGCATTCTAAGAGGAAAATGTGAAATCCTCGTGTGGCAACTAAACATAAATTTATTGGGTTAAAAAAAAGGGTTAAAGGGTTATGTCATAATATGAAGTACTCACATGTGCTGAGAAGCATTTGAGAAGAGCTCAGCATATTGTGGAGCTGAGTCTTCTGGGCCATGAGGAGCAGCGTGGCTGATGACCATCATCACAGGACGGTGAGGGTACATCTTCTTGGACATGCGGAAGAAGTTGATACTGTCGTTGGTGATCAGATCTGTGAAATAATCCTTTCAGAAGGAAAGAGACACAAGTACTGTTATTAGGTTCTGCAAAGTGAACAGCCACATCTAGAGATGTTTAAAAATGAAGGTGGGTTTGGGGGAAAATACTAAAACAGCCCAAGCTTTGATAAAACTCGTTTGCAGTCCAATCACTATGACATGTTGCTTTTCCTCGTCCAGTCGTTTTCAAATAAATTAAGAGGAGCCAGCAGGAATATGAAGTGGGGCCATTGAGTGCACCACAGCACCAATCTGTCGAGTCAACAGCTGGCAGCTTGCCTGCGTGTGTGTACATACATGTGTGTGTGGGTTTGAGTCTCTGTGTGTATGTGTATACAGTATATGGGCTGTTGCCCCATCAGTGAATCTCTGCACTATTGAATGTGACACCACTTGATGGTGAGGGAAGCCTGGCGCTTTCAAATGGTATGTTGTTATGACAGTTCCAACCCTCTGCTCCTCTGTAACCTATTCATTCTGTTTCTGCTAGTTAGCTTCATTCTAGCCGATCCATTTAACCTTTCCTTGCTTTTGACTGATTTACTCATATGGAAAAGACCAAAAACATATAAGATACAAGTTCCAGGCAATACTTAAGGGAATGAATGTATTTGGTACATTGAGCAAGGAGACAATTGAGTTATCAAAACTAACATTTCAGGAGCTTTTATGCAGAAAATGTGAAGTTGTCACAACAAAAACATGCTGAATTTAATGCAACCCGATATTGCAGGGGAGGTTAGGTATCCCCCCCTTTTTTATAGACAATATAGTAGGTCAACACCCTTAAATTAGGATTTGCCAACTCTCTAACAGCAGATAAACATTCTACCCACTATGTTGGCATACGTTTGCTGCCTGGAAAACAATCAATGAAAGGGAGTGCCAGGCGGAGAATGAAAGGGTAAAGGGTGATTTCCCTGAAATGTCTGAAGTGGATTGGCTGATTCATCTAGTCCCTATTAATAGTTTTTTTTTTAATAGTCAGGCCAGCTTTAATGGCCTGGCGGCTGCACATGCCCATAGAGGGTGATGATTACGCACACATGGCAAAGCACGGATATGCACTCCGATGCTGCCAGGTACTAAAATCTGAGCCACTGGTGCTAAGGGCTCTGGCAGGTCAAGAGGAAGTTACAGTGTCATGGGGAACTCTTGGCCAACTGCTATAAAATAGTCAGGAGGGTGATGAGTATCACTTTTCCCATTTTAAGCTGGGAAGTAGTGGGTGGAAGTTGTATGATGCAATTTGTTAGAAGGGGCTTGTAATTCTTTTAAGATTTTAAACTTTGTAAGAACATACAGCTCAGGTGATACAGCAGGGTGCTGTAGCATTAAATAAGCTAAATATGTATGTGAAGGGTAGTAGAGGAATTTTGCTAGCCATAAAACAAAGCCAGATGGGATATGTTGATGTCAACAATGCTGTTGCTCCAGTGAAATTTTAAATGAATCTAAGTCTCTTACAGAAAGGACCTTCACAATCTGTAATCTAAGTCAGTTCTTCCTTTTACATATTGAACATTTGGTAGTATTTAAATTAATGAAATTATTAGGTAAATGTCTCATCTACATGAAATTAAATGACTGTATATCAGCTGCCAAATCCCCTGTATGAAAGGAAGACAAGTTGTGGTTCTCTTAGTGGTGGAAGGTAATGGGAAAATAGCAAATATTGTGTCCATTTGGTTATAAGCCGCAATCTGCTGACCAAGTCTGTGTCATGTAAACACACTGGTCTGAGCTTGTGGGTCCAAGTTGGCAGAAGGACGGGAGTTCAAACATTTGTTTGCCCATCTTTTTGGCCAGATTTCCTGATTGATTTGTTTATACAGGACTGCTCAAACTGGGTCGATGCTGGCAGAAAGCCATGAAATCTGACAGCTCTTACAAAAACATATGTGGATGATGAATGATACAATCCAGGCGGCTGATTGGAAAACTAAAACAGTGTTCACCTCCTGATACTCACATTATGAAAGAGACAATCAAAGGCATTTTAATTGAAAGAAATTCATACCTGCACAGAGCGATGCTACGATACAGAGAAAAAGCAGACAGACTAAGAGACAAAAACAACCACAAGGTGGTACTTATCGCAAGTGACTTTGGCTTCTCATAAAGACGCTTTGGTTTTAGTGTCTAAATATTGAGGAAAGATGCTGTAATAAAGGGATGCTGCCCAACGAGACGCCACCCTATCTGACTTCATTCCCTTTAATTCTCATGGCAAAATTCCTGCCAGCCTGAATCATAAGACGGTGATAAGTGAAGTGTGTCATTGTCTGTATTTATAAATGAGTGGAACCTGCAATTTGTCAGACCAAGTCTTTATATTAAGTCATAAAAAAGAGAAAAAATTAGTGAGAGACATGGGAAAACATACCTTGGCATAGTCGGCACCATGTTTCTCCTTGTAACCATTCCGACAGACAGTGTAATTGTAGAAGCGGGAATTTTTGATCAATCCAACCCATTCACGCCACCCAGGTGGGATGTAGCTGCCATTGTACTCATTGAGGTACTTGCCGAAGAATGCTAGGATGGAGAGAGAAAAAGGAGGGTCTTTTTAAATATGGATGTGCCATCAACACATGCTTTCTGTGTTCCTTTAAGGCTTTACTGTCTCTGTGTGAAACAGAAGCATAGTTTCTTTACTTGTCTCTTCACACCCTCCCCCCCTTTCTCAGACAGTTGAGTCCAGAATAACACATGAGCCTTAAAGCCACAGGTTGTGCTGCAGCCAACTTGACCAAAAGTTGCCCATCATCACACAGACACAGTCTGATGAGACATAATATTGACCTGGCGTGTTCTATACATTTGTATTTCACACAGTGATGCTCGGTTTATGTGACATGATAAGTGTAAATTTTACATCAACATGCGATCCGAGAAAATGTATGAGTACATTGTGTAAAGGTGTCTGCAAATCTGTACCAACCTGTCCTGTAGCCTGTGTTGTTCAGGTACACCGCAAAGGAGCGTGGCTCATGCTGAATTTGCCAGGATGGAGAGGAGCAGTTCTCATTGTTGGTGTAGGTGTTGTGATTGTGGACGTACTTGCCCGTCAACATGGAGGATCGTGACGGGCAGCACATGGGTGTGGTGACAAAAGCATTGGTGAAAGTCATGCCACCATCCTCCATTATCCTCCTAGTTTTATTCATCACCTGTAAAGAACCTGGAGGTCAAAGCCAGAGGATTACTGTGGTAAATGTTCTTTTAAAAAAATATGTTTTGGTAAACTGTTTCATCAATGCATCAATTCTTTTTTTCTAAAAAATTATCCCCCCCCCCCCCCCCCCCCAACAAGAATTCCTATTTTAATTGATTTCCATGTGTATTGTATCAATTTCCTTTGTATTACCTTATAACCCTTGCTGACTAATTTTTGCAGGGAAAAGTAATTAAAATTCATCAGTTGAAAGAACAGATGGCCATTCAGGCCTGGTTTATGGGCAGTATTTAATATTTAATGCAAGGAAAGAGAACACATAAATGATGATGCAAACAGTCCTAAGGACAAAGAAACGTCTCATTAGGTGAAAGGTGAACGAGTTTAGACAATATTAAAGTCGATTGACTTTGTCAAGTAAAGGAAAACATAGGAACCAAGGAAAGAGTCAAAACAGTTTCCAGGAAGACCAGGAAGTTTGCCAGTCTTACCCAACTCAACATCCTGGTCGTCAGTCATGATGAGGATGATGTTGGGCCGGATGTTTCTGCGGTCTCTCTGGATGCGACCTCTGAGGCCCTGGGCCCTGGTGGTGGTAAAAGCCCAGCTGCCTGGAGTCCAGTCCAGAGACAGCAGGGCCAACCAGGACAGCCACTGAATCAGCATGGTATCCAATCCAACAGGCCACAGGACGAGTCGATGGAAGGATTAGTGGAGAGATGGGAGGGAAAGGAGGACACGCCAAGCCACTCACTCACACCCGTGTAGCCCTTGCAGCCTAGATTGACTGAGAGGAGACAGGAGGGGGGAAAAAACACATAATTTAATGTAACATAATACATTTAATAAGTGAAAGAAGATTTTGCACAGTAACATTAAAAAATACCCTAAATTATGTGTATTTGTCAGAAACACTCAAACAAAGTTTAATTATGCATTAGTAAAGAAGCCAGGAAAGATTCTTCGGAGCTTCAACTCTTGATTGTCAACGAATTAAAGCTTACCAAAGAGTTCTAACAAGTATTTGCCAACTGAAACTCTGTCAGAGATGATAATTCACCCTTTATCAACTATCTTGACCTACACTTATAAATATATTCTAAATCTCAGCAACCCATTAGAATCACCACACTGAAGCTCTGAACACCTTACCTTTAAGAGTCCCTTAAGTCTCATTCTTGTGATGTCGTCTCACAATATTCACAAAAAATGTTCCTTGTGTCTTTCACCCTTTCCTTCCTAAAACCCATGCACACAAACTCTCCATCTCTACAGCAGAGCTGTCGTTGTGCTGACTGCTGAGATAACACTACTGCTGTAAGCACTCAACACCCACAGCTAGTCCCCTGCAAGAGCCAATCGTGGCACACCTTCCACCTGTCACTCAAAAGTCAACCCCTGGTGAGTCAAGCATGATGGAGTGCTGATGGGGGGATGGAGTTAAGGCTCTGGAGGTGGATGGAGGGTTCCACTGAATTAACCCTGGTGCCAATGTCGTCAATCACAGATAACAAATGAGTCATTGCAGCAATGTGGCGCTTCATTCTCACAAAGTCAAGATTAATCCTGCAAAATCCAACACATCCTAGAGACAACAACTAAACTTGCAAACCTGAGCAGGAAGATAACAGATTTTTTACATTTTTATTTTACATTAGGTTTAAAAAACTTAAGGAGTCATTAACTCAAGTAAAAGTAATGCAAAACTTTATTGAATTAAGTTAATTAAACTATTCCACATTATCATTGCAACATAAGGAAGACTTACTGTAAAAAATAAACTAAAAACAGGCAAACATTTGATATATATTAGCAGGTAACTTTTAGCAAAAGAGAAACATGTGAAAAAAAAGGCTTTTGGCTGTGAAATGAGCTATGATGCTGTGATAATTAGTACTTCATCAGTGCTTGATAAAAAAAATAGCCTCGTGGACAGCAGCCTCACTGAGTGGCACCATACTGCTCCCTATTCTGAGTTAATGGCCTGAAAACAAATGGCAGGTTGGCGACACCTGCCTTGGCCAAAACCAATAGGTGGCTCTGCAATTACCCTCAATTTGAAAAAGGGGTTCAACCAAATTAGTTTAAAAAAAAAAAAACGTTTTGTTTTTTATGCGATTTAATCTGGGAAGGATTATCTCTTGTGTAGCTAACAGTTGTTTGTTTGCCACTCCCCTGTTAAGATGTTAAATGATAAGTAGAATTTCAACAGCGCAATAAGGTCTGTCTTGTGTTTCAGACGAGCAGTCTGTGCAAGCCAGTAAGCCTAGTCATCGTGACAGCCTTGTGCAAACATTGGCACCGTTTGGACAAACACCCCTCCAGTGCAGGGTGGCGGAGTGCATGGAACCTTGCAGTGAATTACACACACAACACAAACTATTCTACAAACATATGGTAGCACACAGAAACACATAAAACCCTCACACATAGTCCTCCAAAACTACCATTTCTTGCTGTGTGGGTCCAAAAATGCCAAATCTTCCCAGAAACAATAGACATAAAGCATATTTGAGCAAACCAAGGCCCTATTTCTGTCTTCATGCAGCAGAAGTCCTGAAATGATCCCTAAACCAGGCAGCAACGCAGTGTAATGTAGCACACATAGTGCAAAATCAATTTTACATGCCAGTGATTCCAAGCAATAGCCTCTTCTTACAATCCGAGAAAACGGACAAAAAGGTTTGTTGTGGTGTCTGATTCAAACCTTGTGGTGCTGATGTAGTTAGCCACAGTGGAATCAAAAGTTATACTGTCTAAAATAACTGGAATAGCTGTGCTAATTAAGTGATGCACACAACAACCAATAAGATAAAGGCAATAGATATGCAGACTACGGTAAATTTGCCAGTCTTTTATCTCAAGGTCTCACCCTGACTCTACCTTTATGATCTACTTTCTTCACGGGGTATAAAAGATCAACCATCCACGTATGGCCCTACGCAAAAGCAAAGAAAAAGACTGGGAGGCAAATTGCATGCGATAAGATTTCTATTCCTCTGGAGGAGATTATTAGGGACTTCACTTGAGAAATTAGATTAAAAGTCGAGCTATGATATCACGCAGATGTTTTTTTTTCTGTTGATCTTCTATGTGATATTCTGAGAGTACAAAAAGCCCAAACTATCTTCAATACAATTTTTGCTCAGGAAAGGCCAGTGAGAATGACACGGAAGTTTAATGTTCCTTGACATAAGTTATAAGGTGTATGAGGAATATATACAGCATGAGATTTTAACCACCAAAACTAATCTAGTATGTTTGGCAAAGAGAAAATCAAAGGTAATGATGGAACTCTGCATTGCGAGTCGATCCTGTGCGCTGCAGAATCAGGCTGTTAAAAAAGAAACAAAAAGAGTAAAGGGAAAAAAAGGTGTCCTTCATGGCTTGGAACATCTTGGTATTCATCTAGCCCTAACCACAATTATGTCGAAAACCATTTAAGTTGATAAAGTTTAAGCAGAAAATTATGGTGCAAAAGTCAGAATTGGTGCACTTTGACAATTTTGGACAATCTTTTGTGTTGTCAACATGTTTAAACATATTAAATGGAAATCAGAAAAGGGGCAAAAATCTATGGAGTCACCGTGTAAGTACTAGAAACGACAGGAACATATCCATGTTAGCATTTTGTGTCGACTAAAATCTGTAGCAGATTTAAAATTTCAAATCTTGACATTACTGCTAGTTGTCAAAGATTTTGATTTGTGCAATCAAAAACATTCACTGCTGAGTGAATGTTTTGTCCACAGTTCTTGGCTTTAGGCACACTTACACACCATTCAGTCAATTGTTACTTCAAACACTGCAAGCCCATAACAATGAGGGAATACTATGAAGTCTGAAAGTTATTATGTATTTGGCTTCTGAATCTTGTTTCTGTTATTGCCACTGCTTCCAAGTTTTAGACTGGAATTTCATATGTATGTTGTTAATTTCACAGAACCCTTGAGAAAACTAAGAATAATGTTTCATTTAACTTGAATGAACTAATCATTTCAGATGAGACATTTCTTTATGTCATCTAGCGTGATACAAGTATAACAGGTGTCTTCTATGGAATGCACAAGAGGTCTTTATTCCTGGACAGAATCAGAGGACTAGGGAGCACATTGTTTCTGCTTCCTCATTGTTTTGGAGGATTAGCACTAATGACCCTTTAAATTAGCCTGCACTGTACTCATCATGGGTAAGCTGCAGGAGAAATATTGAGGGTGGATGGGAAGGCCATAAAATGCCCAGGGGTTCAAAGGACTGGAACAAAAAGGCCACTATGGAGTTTCCAGCCACACAGCTGCCAGATACATAAAAGATGTGCAATTTTCAGATTAATGGCCATCAACACAAGGGGCTTTTAGTACAGCTCAACACCATAATAATCTTCACTTCTTTGACTCTTCGTGATAGTAAAGATTTTTTCCGACTTTACTTGAAGAAAACAGCTCTCTCACTTACTTTGCTGGGGAACACGGACCATTGCTCAGTAATTTGGTACGGCTTCACAGACAGCTGTGCTTTGTGCACTGAGAGAGGCTCAACATAATAGAGCTGTTGCTTGTGTAACCATGCAGGGTAGCAGTGCTTGGCTGGTTGGCAGCCGTGCCCTCCAGTTGGGGCCTCAAACCACACACTCTGCTGCGCCCTGACCCTCTTCCGACCCAAGCGGCGATATGGCTTTGATGGTGGCTTGTTTAACCTAACCTCAGCAACCTGAGGCTACCCGCACACAGGGGTTAAGAGGGAAACGTGAGGGAAGAAAAAACAAAAAATCAGTGGATAAGGTTTAATAGAGTAGTATGCAAGCATCAAAAGTCTTGTAAAAGTTAGGTTGTGATAGGCCTGCATTTTCTTTTCATTTATGACACATAGGCAACATCTGGCTTGGGTTCTGTTCAGTTAGCGGTGGCAGTCCATACATTCATCAGCTGTCACTGGAAAACAACATAAGAAACATAAAAGAGTTCTTAGGTAAAAACAAAGAATGACGACCATGAATCCATAAAACCTCTAAAGGAACATGTTTGTCCACCAAAGTGGAGTATGTGTGCCCACAGAGTAGGATCCTGCTTAAGTTGACATGGTAAAAGAGTTCATATTCTAAAAACAAGATGCAAGTTAAACAGAATCCAGATGCGCCTCTAAAGTAAATCAGTCATTCATAAAAGGCCTTGCAATTAAGAACAATGGCCAATTTAAACCCCCCCCACACGTTCTTTCTCCATTTCATTGCAAAAGTTAGATTTAATGTCTAATGGCATACTTTGAATGTTCTTGCCTATTTGTAGCAGAACTAGTACAAGTCATCCCACTCATCAGGAGAATTGAATAAAACAGTTGACAGCAATTATAGGACAGGAATATGGTAATGTTAAGACCTCTGCATTTATCTCATCTACAGTATTTCTATTTTGTCTGTGTCAGACCAGGGGTTATTTTCAGTCCAATCAGAGCGTTTCTGTCAAATTTTATAGAAGAAAAAACAGATACACCTCAAATTAAAATTGAGGTTTGTCCAAATATTTCTGTAATCCAAGGGAATTCAGCTGGTCTGTTGCCATCATGGCTGGCTGGCGCATCTTACACTGGAGGGCCTGTGTAAAGATTTGCGGTGCCCGTAAGGCCGAGGGCAGCACATTGTAGCCACCAAGACCCAACTGTTGGCCACACTAACTGACCGAAAGACAGCTCAGTCTCCGTGTAGCCATCTGGCTGTAAACAGGCCCTTGGAAAAGCTTAAACCCTGGTGTTTTCAGACTCTTAACAGGACTGAATCAAGCTGGTCAAAGATCCATGACAAAATTCCAGAGAAA